GGCTCCTCCAGTGGCCGCCGTGGCCGCCGCAATGGCCTTCTCCCCGTGGCCCGCTGCGGGGCGCGAGGACGCGCGCCGCCTCCGACGAGCAGTTGGCTGGGGCCCGCCTGGCTCCCGAGCATGCTTGCGGGAGGGGGGCTGGGCCGCCTGGAGTGCCTGGCCATGGAGGATGCCGACGACCTCCTCGAGCTGGTGCTCCGTGATGCCGGCCTCGGGGAGGTTCTCGGGGATCGCGGGGTCCGCGGGGGCCAGTCCGCCGCCGACCACGTGGGCGATCGTGGCGGAAATGGCCTTGGCCTCGATGACGGGCTTGGGCGGCCCCTGGTGCGACGGGTAGACGCCCTTGGCGATCCTCCTGAGGGCCTCGTCCGTCTTGCGGGTGGTCTTGCTCTTGCACTCGCCTCGCAGCCCCATGCCCATCGTGGTGCCATGAGCCCCGCAATCGCTGCAGAAGAAGAGGCTGTGGGTTGGCCACTCGTAAAGGCGGTGGGAGGCGTGGACCACGCCCGTGCCCATGGCGATCTGCATGCCGGCAGGGAGGAGGAGGAGGAGGAGGAGGAGGAGGAGGAGGAGGAGGAGGAGGAGGAGGAGGAGGAGAAGGAGGAGGAGCAGGGGGAGGAAAAGGAAGAGGAGGAGGAGGAGGAGGAGGAGGAGGAGGAGGAGGAGGAGGAGGAGGAGGAGGAGGAGGAGGAGGAGGAGGACCAGTGCAAACCCAAGACTCATCAACGATGCTTAACTTCACCCTCCCTCCAAGCTCCTTTTTTATATGTTCCTACAGGGGTTAACTTCCACTGAGGGGATCGCCCCGTTGGGAGACATTCGTGTGAGCATCCTGAGGCGTGCCCCGAACAACATCCCCACGACCAACGCCACGAGCTAATCTGACTGCTGCGTCCTGACGATCCCGAATCCTACCAGAACGCCATTCCTGGGACGTCCGCACCGGGAATCAACGCAACTGTTGCGCCTTGACAGTCCTGAATCGCTCCAGCACACCATCTCTGGCCATTCAACCAAGCGAACCAACGGCACGTTTGAGTTTTTTTTCGAAGCGAATGTGCGCTTCGCCCAGGCGAGAACCACATTTTGGAAATGAGCCGCCCTCATTCAGTGACTTCAGCGCCACGCGTTAACCTGACTGTTGCGTCTTGGCGATCCGGAATCGTGCCAGAACGCCGTTCCTGTGACTCCAACACCGCGAACCAATGCAACTGCTGCGCCCTGACAATCCTGTTCCGTTCCAGAACGCCGTTTCTTGTACGTCAACCCTGCGAAGCAGTGACACTTTTGCAAACTTTCAAAACGAAATTGCCCAGCGCTGAGGCGAGAGCAACATTTTGAAGACCACCCGCCCTCATTCCGTGAGGTTTGTGCGAATTTGCGAACGTGTGCGGCGCTAAAGCGGCGAGTGCCACATTTTGTAAGCGAGCCGCCCTCAATCCGTGAAGCTCTTGAGATTTGTTGACACGAATGTGCGCGGAGCTAAGGCGGCGAGAGCCACATTTTGAAAATCACCCGCCCTCAATCCGTGAACATCAAATTCTGAAAACCAGTGTGCGCAACGCTAAAGCGAGAGCCACATTTACCTAACAGCTTTTGCTGATAGGTTTCTAGTGGACTCAAAAGAGAGCAGCAGATGACTCCACAGGGGGGTCGGGGCGGGACCCGGGGCGGCTGCCGCCGAAGCCCAAATCGCTTGGGACATCCTCGCAAAATCGCTTTTGGCGCTGCTAGAACTCCATTCCCGGGCCAAATTTTGGATGCCCGGAGCCAACTGTATGCCACTTCGTGCTCTTCGACTTCCCAGAACTCCATTCCTGGGCCACATTTTGGATGCCCGGAGCCAACTGTAGGCCACTTCGTGGTCTTCGAGTTTCCAGAACTCCATTCCCGGGCCACATTTTGGATGCCCGGAACCAACTGTAGGCCACTTCGTGGTCTTCGAGTTCCCAAAATTCATTCCTGGGCATGATTTTGATGCCCGGAGCCAACTGTAGGCCACTTCGTGTTCTTCTAGTTCCCAGAACTCCATTCCTGGGCCACATTTTGAATGCTGAGGCAGGGCTGATGCTGCGGCCGAGGCAGGCTGAGGCTGAGGCAGGCTGAGGCTGAGGCCGAGGCTGAAGGCAGACTGAGGCTGAGGCTGAAGCAGGCTGAGGCTGAGGCTGAGGCAGGCTGAGGCTGAGGCTGAGGCAGGCTGATGCTGAGGCAGGCTGAGGCTGAGGCTGAGGCTGATGCAGGCTGAGGCTGAGGCAGGCTGAGGCTGAGGCCGAGGCTGAAGGCAGACTGAGGCTGAGGCTGAAGCAGGCTGAGGCTGAGGCTGAGGCAGGCTGAGGCTGAGGCAGGCTGAGGCTGAGGCTGAGGCAGGCTGAGGCTGAGGCTGTGACTGCGACTGCCGTTGCCGCTGCGACTGTCATCGCGAATGCGACTACGACTGCGAGAACAGCAGAATTCTACAACTGGATTTTCATCTGAATCTTAAGGGGAATGCTTTCAGATATGCTTCTACACATCGCTGTTAGGTTGCTTTGCCGGGATAATTTGAGAAACACCCGCCCTCCATTTGTGAAAGTGGTCAGAAAGTCTCAGGCGAGACACCCGGCCCGCCCTTCCGATTGGCCTCGGGGTGCGACAGGGAGGAGTTGTTCATAAGGGAAAGGAGTGGAGGATGAGGATGAGGATGAGGAAGAGGATGAGGATGATGAGGAGGAGGAGGAGGACGAGGAGGAGGAGGAAGAGGAGGAGGAAGAGGAGGAGGAAGAGGAGGAGGAAGAGGAGGAGGAGGAGGAGGAGGAGTCGTGGTGGTGGTGGTGGTGGTATCCCTCGCTGCTTTGCCCTGGTCCTCGTCCTCCTCCGCTCTCCCTGCTCCCCCCGCACAGTGCCTGCACCTGGGCCTTCCTACCTCGGCTGCCCACGGCACTGGCCGGGCCCGCCGAGCTTCCTCCCCGTGCCCCGGCGGTGCCTGGCGCACTGGGCGCCTTCGGGGCGCCTCCGGGGCGCCCCGTGGGCCCACCACGGGGCCTCGCCTCGTGGCCCCCCCGGGGGCGCCCCGTGGGCGCCCGTGTGCGGATGGGCTCCGCCCGGGTGGCTGCCCGGCGGCCGCCCGTGGCCGCCCGCGTGGGGTTTCGCCTCCGGCCGAGCCGCGCAGCATGGCACCGCCACGGCCCTGCACCGCACGGCCTTTTGCACCACGGAGTCTGCACCGCACACGTACTCTCATCACTAGGGGGACAGAAAGTGGCATGAACATAGAAAAACTCGGAGGTCCGCGCGGATTTCTCGGACCGGCGCCGGGGCCCCCCTGCGGCGCCTCCGGCGCCGCCCCGGGCGCGCTCCGCGCGCCAGGGAGGGGGGTGTCCAGCGCCGATCCGAGAACTCCGCGCGGACCTCCGAGTTTTTCTGTTTATGTCATGTTTTGTTCCCCTAACCACGTGGCTTGTACCACACAGCCTGCACCTCAGGAGTGGCATCACCTGGACTGCCCCAAATAGAGTGCACAACATAGAATGCACACCACATGCACTGTGCCTCCATCGTGCAATAGCGCATCTCTGCGGATCCATACTCGCCTATCTGTTCTGTTCTCTTAAACTGTCTTCCTCGTTATCTTTGTCTACCCTTCTTACTTCTGAGTAACTCTCTTCGCACCGTCAGATGTATGGGTATGGTGGGCCAGGCGTTTCACCTGAAACCTATTCCCTGTTTGCGATCCTTAAGCCGGACCTCCCCAACGGTTTCACACATAGTGGGGGATTCGCTTTCAAAATGTGGCTCTCGCTAAAGCGCCGTGATCATTCGTCTCGAGAGTTTCCAGCAGTTGCGTGGATGGAGGGCGGCTTAATTTCAAAGTGCGGCTCTCGCTTCAGCACCATGCGCATCCGTTCAAACGTACGACAGGTACACGGATGCAGGGAGGGCCGTGTCCAATATGCGGCTCTCGCCTTAGCGCCACGCTCATTCATTGAAACTGCTTTCGACAATTACGCGGATGGATGGCGAATTGTCTTCAAACGTGGTTCTCTTTCACGCTGCGCGCATCCGTCGTCAAAGATTCCTGCGATTCGATGGGTGGAGGGCGATTCCATTCCACCATGATGTCCCGCTTGAGACTTCGTTTTTCTTTGCCAGACGTTAACATGGTTCGACATACTTGGGGGCGAGTTGTTCTGGAAAGGGAGCTATCGCTGGGTATTCCTTGATGTGCTATGTGCATGCTGTGTTATAGCTGCGGGTGGATGGCGTTCGTTTTCGAAATGAAGCTCTCGTTCGCACCTCGGCTCGTTTTTCAAGTTGGCGCTCCTTGTAGAACAATGGTTGTAAGCTTGAGGAGAGCATTTGGGCCAGGGGGATGTTGTTTTGCAGCATCGTGTCCGCCTCCTCCTGCTCCTTTGCCTTTTACCTTCTCCGTACCTTCCTTCTCGGAATTGTGGCGCCAGAAGAAACAATATCATTAGAACTGCCAGCAACACTGACAGAAGTCATAGTCGTGGTCGCGGTGGTGGTTATGACGTTGGTGTCGGTGGAGGTGGTGCTGCTTGTAGTCGTGAGTAGTGCTACAAGTTTTTGTGGTGGTGGTTGTGGTGGCTGTTATGGTGGGAGCTTAGGGGGAGAAGGAGGAACACGAGGATCATGAGGAGGACCCAGCTAAGTATGGTAATGATGAGGAACAGGGGGATGATGAGGAGGATGGCCAGGTTGGGAAGGAGGAGTAGGACGAGGAGGATGAGGAGGAGCAGGATGAGCAGGATGAGCAGGAGGAGGAGCAGGATGAGCAGGATGAGCAGGAGGAAGAGGAGGAGAAGGAGGAGGAGGAGGAGGAGGAGGAGGGGGAGATGAGACGGAGCAGTGGGAACATGGAGCATGGAGCAGGATGAACTTCAAGTCGTACAGCAGAAATGCGATTAGTATCAGCAGCACGAGGATCACTGGCGCAGGAGCTGGAGCGAGAGCACGAGGAGCAGAGGCAGGGGGAGGAGGCTCGGCAGCAGCAGCGGGAGGAAGCGGAGGCGAAGACTCGCAGCCTTCTCTTCCCAGGCTGTCTGCGTGCAGGATTCCATTGCACCTTCCCTTGCATGTCCGTACCGCGCCTTCCCCAGTAACCACCTCATGGCCTCCCGGCACGCGCCGCCGCGGCTCCTGCTCCTGTCCGCGCTGCTTGCCGCTGGCCGTGCCTTCGGCCTGCTGCAGCGCCTGCCCAACGACGAGTGGCGAGAACGACTGGCGGACTCGATCAGCAACCTGACCGCCTCCCCCGAGGACCCGCGGGAGCCGGCACTCGCTCCCTCGCCTCGTGCACGCCGCGCGCCCTGTCGCGAGTGGGAGATGCGGCTCGGATTCGCAACGGGTCCCGGTGCTCTTCCGAGCGGGTTTTGCAGTTGCACGGCTCGTGACCTTTCTGTTTGCCAGTGCGCCGTGCAGGCGCCAGGCTCGACCGACCTCGTTTCCGCTCTCTTGGGGGCCCTGCCCCCGTCGCCGCGGCTGGTTTCGCCTCGGGGTCCCAGTCAGCACGCACCTCGTGCGAGATGTCGGGGGCGTGTCGGCGCACGGCAGTTTCGTGCGGCGCTGGCGCGCCCGCGACGCCGGCGAAGGCGTTCAAGGTGAAAGTCTGCGACGCGGAAGCACCGATGGGCCACGGTGGTGCCCCTGCACCCGACGGAATTCAACCTTGAACGATCGGGGCCGCGATCGGATTAAGGTTGAACGATCGACGCGGTGTCAAAAAACTTTAAGCGCGCCGACGCCGCACGAACCTACCGTACTGGTGTATATATATATATATATATATGTATATGTATATGTGTGTGTATATATACATATATATATATATATATGTATTCCATTTTCTACCCAAGGACGAGTATGATATCCCGTACGAGATCCTGCTGACGCGCGGAAAGTTTGCAAACATGGGCGCGGAGATGGCCAGGGAGTTTATGTTGGCGAGCGAGGTGGCAGCCGAGAAGAACAGGGAGCAGAAGACGGAGTCTATAGTCGAGTGCCTTCCGGAGATGCGCGCGGGTGTCGCGAGTGGGTTCTTGGATATCTTCAGCAAGGAGTACAAGCCAAGGTTTGTGAATGCTTTCAGGGGTGTGGATATGCCAGCGTACTTCACAGTAAGCGACCACCGCTTCAAAGAGATGTTCCGCAATTTCCTGGTGCATGCGCACCAATTGACCTGTGCATCCTCTGACCGCATTGTGGTTGTGAACGCGGCCTTGGATAAGGAAAGCTACCAGGAGTGCAAAGGTCTCGAAAGTGGTATCGTTCAGCCCACCAATGTGGTCCCTTGGACGGCATCCAGCTTCACCCTCCGTTGCATCGACCTTTCGGGATGGCTGCCGCAGCAGCTGTTTGAGCATTCGGACCAGAAATTCTTCCAGCCGTGGTCTTGTGCGTACAACATGCTGCTTTGGACCAGGCCGCATATTGCTGCAGCTGCCGTAGAGGCAGCAACACAGCCAGTCATGATGATCGACACAGATGTGATTCTGCATCAAAATCTGTTGAACCTCGCGAACACGACGCTTCAGGCATGCACGGACTGCGTGGCGATCACAGGTCGCGAATACCAGTCGGACAGCAAGCCAAACACTGGGACAGTGTACACCGACAAGGCAGGCCTGCCGCTGCTGAGGGAGTGGGCCAAGGCCGACCCGATCTTCATGAACGCGAAGGAGGGCGACCAGAGCGCGATACAGTCGCTGATGTCGTCGAATGCCAGCCTGCGGGCGCAGCTGGCAGTGTTTGCCCAGGCGGAGGTCGGAGAGTGCGGGATCGCCGGGAGCTACGCCACGCACTACAACTGCCTCACGGGCAAAAAGGAGCACATGATGAGGGTGGGCCACTGGGACACGCGAGTGTACCGCGAACCCGCACAGCTCCGCTGCCGCGTGGTCGGCGAGCCTGTGGAGATGGAGCCAGACACGGGCGCCCCGCAGGGGACGGACCTCCCGATGCCAAAGAGGAGCAGGATCGTCGGCGGCAGGAAGGCGGGAGAGGCGGAGGGCCTCGCCCTCGTCCTCCCCGCGGGGCACCGGCAGCTGAAGTTCACGAGCGCGGCCTCCTGCCAGACGTGGTCCTGCGTCACGAACCCGGCCAGGTTTGCCACGGATGGCCTCGTGAGCACCATCGCCCACGTCAGCCAGCTGGGAAACTGGACGGGCGACCTCGGCACGGTGATGCAGGTCGGGCGCGTGGAGATCACTTTCGACTCCTGCATGTGCCAGCCCGCGGGCTCCATGCTCATCGAGACGTCCTTCGACGGCGTGACCTGGAGGACAGCGGGGGACGGCGCCGGCGACGGCGACGACCGCGGCGACGGCGACGAGGGCAACAACGGCAGCCACGGGGGCGACGACGGCGATGACGATGACGGCGACGGCGACGACGAGGACCTACGGTACCCTCGGCGAGATGAAGGTCTGGGAGGGGAGCCGGCTCGTGGCTTTCGAGCACAGGCTCAACGCCCGGTACATCCGGGTGCGCCCCGCTGCTACGTACACCGCGATCCCGCACCGCTCCGACCAGCGCTTCTCGCTGCGGGAGGTGTCGCCAGCCTCGATCGGCGATCGAAATCTTGTCCATGCCCCTCATGCTGCCTCCACTTCTGGGCGCCGAGGGGGCAGGGGGTGGATCAGAACCTGGCCTCCAGAGGCTGGATCTTTGTCCATGCCCCCACCCTGGCCCCTCGCGGGTGTGGGGCATGTGGGGGCGTCAGCAGGGCATGGACACAGCGTAGGTCGCGCATTCGAGCCCACCCCTCGCGTGCCAGAGCGACGGCAGAATCACAAACTTTCAGAGGTCCGCGCAGATCTCTCGGGTCGTCGCTGGACCCCGCCCTCCCCACACTCCCCCTGGCGCGGACCTCCGAGCTTTTCTTCTTGTGGCCTCAATGTGAACTTGCGAGTCTCGGGGGCAGGGACAGGCTCGATGTTGGTCTCAGGTTCGGCGGCGAGCGAGGGGGGATTACCAGGATTACCGCCTTGACAGATGTCAGCGTGGCGAGCGAGGGGGGGAAGTGAGAAGGAGAAGGCCTTCTCAGAAGGCGGCGGGGCTTCTCAGCAGGCCCCCAGCTTTCTGATTTTTTTTTGTGTCTTCTGGGAAGGCTGAGACAACTTCTCAGAAGGCCGGGGGACCTCCGAGCCTTCTGAGGAGGTCCGCCCCTTCTCACCTCCCCTCCGGGCTCGCCGCCGACAGGTGGAGGCGTTCGGCACGAGCGACCTCCTCGAGGACGGGGGACGCCAACCGCCCACCTGCGCTCGATTTGGGGCCGGGCCAGCCTTGACTCTGGGCTCGGGGGGGGCACGCCTCCCCTCACCGGGCCCGTCCCACCACTCGCAAAGTGCCCACTCGCAGACGTCCGACAAACGCACGTCTGCTTCGCCGTGACCCACATCGTGGATCCCCCTCGGCGGATCCAGGCCATCTGCGAGCAGTTACTTTGCGACCAGTGGAACGCGCTCGTCCATCCCCGCAGCTCCGAGGACTCGGCTCCTCCAGAGCCGCGGGGCCGCGCACGGCCCCGAGGGCGGCCTCCGGAGGCCGAGGGGTGCAGAGGAGCAGCGCGCCCGCTGCCCCCCGAGCCTCTGGAGGCCCTGGGCTCCTGGCCATGGGCCAGCGCAGCGCGCACGGCGCCAGGGGCGGGCCCGGGGGCCGGGCCGTGCTGGCAGCGGGCCTCCATCCCGAGGTGCTCGTTTCAGGGCCCGAGGAGGGAGGAGGGAGGAGGGAGGAGGGAGGAGG